ATTATTATATTCTTAATGTACAGCTCGAGTTATCATTATATCATAATATTTTACCTAAATATAACTTTATGTCGTACCGGGTGTTCAACTAAATTTGGAACTTACCAATAAAATAAACATTTATTATAATCGAACCAAGAACGGAAGAAAATTTAGATCAGCATCCCTTGTTTCTGGCTTTGTTTGCAATTTTATATAAAACAAAAAATATTGTATTGCTGACTATGTTTTGGCTCCGCTGATTATTAAACTTTTAGAAAGGTACAAACGTATATTAATAAATATCAATTTAAAACTTCGTTATAGATTATTTATAAATTACATTTCTACGTATATTTTATTTATTTTTTTTTTCCATAAAAGAATTACTTCTGCACAATGCAACGTTTTTCCCCACACCCAAATGTTTAACGTTTTTAGCATTGCGTTGTAATACGAATAATATCCGTACAGAAAGCAAAAACTAAGTATAACACAATGCGGATCGAAAGCAAAAGAAATCACACTGATAAATGCGGATTTTTGTTTTGAAAATAAATTTCACTCTTCAATTTCACAGAGAAGGAAGGCGTAATAAACGTAATAGAAATATACATAAATATATAATATTGTAATAGACAAAGATAGATAATATTTAAATAGATAACCAAATAGAGAGAACTAGAAATAAACATACAGATAAATAAACAGATAGTTATTCAGATATCGTGAGATGCGGTCGGGAGTGATGTAGGTATCAGAAAAACATTTTTTTTTATCGTGCCAACGTTTCGATCTTTTATTGAGCCCTGAAGATGATCTCAATAAAAGATCGAAACGTTGGCACGATAAAGAAAATGTTATGCTGAAACCTACATCAACTATCGATTAACGGTCACTAATCTCTATACATTTCTAAACAAATAGTGATGAAGGAGAGAGAGAAATTGCTTGCGTATGTGGATGTATGAAAAGATAGATAAGAGAAAAAATAGAGATGAATGTAGTGATAGTCTTATACATATATAAAATTGTATGTATATACACAGAAATATAGAGGTTTGGATATGTAGACATGTAATTAACATGACGGGAGTAAGTAGAAAACTTGCCCGAAAAGAATAAACACGAATAGTAATAGTTAGAGATAGAAAGGTAGCAAAAAGGAAGGGAGATGAAAAAAGAGAAAAAGAAAGAGAGAGAGAGAGTGAATGAGAGAGAGAGAAAGACAGAAAGACAGAAAGACAGACAGACAGACAGAACAAAAGAAATTTTGTTGACAAAGTAATTTATAAAATATAATAAGTCATATTCTGAAAACAACCCTATTATAACTTGGCATCACTCAATCTAAAACTTGTTTCTCAACTTGTTATCTTCAAAATAGTGTTTTTCTTCCTCAGCCGTATGTTTCCAAACAATAAAAAGTTTTCAGATAAAAATTATTAAAGTTTCTTAGTATCTAAACGAAAAAGATATAAGTTATATGTACTTTTTTAAAATATATATACATTCTTGCAAATTTAAGTTCGCGAATCAGATGGCCGTTTACAGTTAATATAACAGTATTTCATAATACTAAGATAAAAACTTTTGTTTTTATTAAAAGTTAGTGAGTTGAGTTTTCCAAAGTGTTTGGTTTTTAGTAAACTCTTCGATTGATTGCGAATTATAAAATTTTTTTAGCCATCGGGATATTTTCTAAAATGAAGATTAGCACAAGGTAATCAATTAATTTAACTTAGAAGCACAAGTTGAAGGAAAGGTCCATAAATATCAAACACCTTTATATAATATAATTTATCACTTAGCCATATGCGTGCTTTTAGCATGAATATGAATGAACAAAATGGACTAGAAAGATAAAAGTCAAACAAACTGATGGATCGTGTAATTATAATTTTACGATATATACGTTTCAAATATTTCAGACGAAATTTTCCGCTAATTCTAATGAGCGATAAAAATTAATTCCAGAAACAATTATTTTCTTCAACGTTGTTTTTAATCATATTATGTACCCTAAAAAATACATTATTGATTTTTTTTAGTTGCTCGCGTTAGGCCTCAAGGTTTTTAACCTATGGTTTGATTAATTTTCATTTTTAGGAGAAAACACACCTACGTTTATGCAACTTTTTTTCTGTTTGTAGTATATCTTAAGAAAACAGTCGATGTTGAACAGTTATATGGATACATTTCTATTTTTAAATTATTTATAATTATCGGAATATGGATTGAACCAGTAAGAGAAGAAGAATAATTATTTATGTACGGATAAAATCCTGTACAGAAATATATAAGTGTGTGGTGATCAGTGACCGTTAATTGATGATTATTCAGAAATCGTGGGATGCGGTCTGGTTTGATGTAAGTTTCAGAAAAACATTTTCTTTATCGTGCCAACGTTTCAATCTTTATTGAGATCATCTTCAGGGCCTGGGATTTAAAAACATTGTTTAAATTTGACAAATACATGTAGGATGTGGAAAAAAGTGAATTTATTTTGCATTGTATAAATTCACTTTGTTCCACATCCTACATGAATTTGTTAAATTTAAGCAATATTTGTAAATCCCAGGCCCTGAAGATGATCTCAATAAAGATCGAAACGTTGGCACGATAAAGAAAATGTTTTTCTGAAACCTACATCAAACCAGACCGCATCTNAAGTAAATCCCAGGCCCTGAAGATGATCTCAATAAAGATCGAAACGTTGGCACGATAAAGAAAATGTTTTTCTGAAACCTACATCACACCAGACCGCATCTCAAGATTTCTGAATAATCAGAAATATATAAGTGTATAACGCGTAATTATACATAAAATGAGACCATCATGCTAACAATATTCATAGTAATAATCATTACAATTTTACACATAATGTGGTGTTATTAGAATTTATAGTTAGAAGATAAAGAAAAAATTATGTTAATACTATGAATATGTATGCCTAGATTGTCATGATTTCTTTAGCAAATTGTGAAGTTGGTTCAGGAAAATATTATTAAAGAAATTAAATAATTGGAAGTAAGGGATATAATTTGGAGAGTACAATTTTCTGTCTAGAGGTAAGTTTTTGCCATAGTTAGTTGTGGCGTGGAACGTTCTATACTGTTTAATCTGATAAGGAATAATGGTGAAATTAATATTGCTTAGAAGTTGAGAACAGTCAGTATATGAATTGTTAATTTTTTAAAAATATAGTAAGTCGAAGTGTAATCTGCGTGGTTTCAGTGGGATTAAATTTAAAAATGATTGAAATTGTTTATAATCTGAAAGTTTTTTCTCAGCTTAAAGGCAACTATTCTAAAAATATTATTTTGTACACTCTGAAGTTTTTGATTTTCATGAGCCGTGTGTGCATTCGTGACTGGAGAACAGTATTCAAGTTATGATCTCATCATGGAGGAGTAAGATAATATCATGGAATTTACCTTTAAATATATTAAAAAAAGCCAAGCGCTTTTAACCTTCTGATACATTCAATTAATTAAGGTTTTAAGTTGAGATAAAAAAAGTCAGTGACACGAGCGGGATTCGAACCCACGATCTTCGACTTGATACGCCGCTACTCTACCACTTGAGCTATCGTGACTTCGATCCCCTTGGGCCCGAACTTCTCATCTCATCCCCACCTTTTGAATTTTCCCTCCTTTTTGCAATTTTTCAAATGTCGTGTAATCGGATTGGATTCTCGGCGACAAATGAAATGGCCACGGGGTTGAGATGGGAAGTTAGCGCCCGAGGGGATCGAAATCACGATAGCTAAAGTGGTAGAGTAGCAGCGTATCAAGCCGAATGTCGTGGGTTCGAATCCCGCTCGTGACACTGACTTTTTTATCTCAATTTAAAACCTTAATTAATTGAATGTTATTAATTGGTCAAGCGGACCACGAAAAATAGTGAATTCTTCTCATAAATTTAAAATATGGTTAATTAAAATATGATCAATTTACGTGAAACTGTTGTTAACTCTAACGCAAGAGGTTGCAAAAAAATGTTAAAAGGAAGTAAATTCAAGGTGCTTCATTATGTGAATTAGCATTTTAACAAAAATGCACCTGCAGGTTAGTTAAGTAAAACAACAAATTCTAATTAAAAAATCGTAAAACCCGTTAAACAATTGGATAAAAAGTAGGACCAGCGTGCTAAGCTCTCGAGAAAGGGGTGCTTTATCAAGCCGATTAAATGCGTGGAAATCCTCTCAACTAGGTGGATGCGCAGCACAGATTCCTTCACGTTCTGAAGGATCTTCACCTGAAAGCAGCCAGCAATTATCTAGGCTTGTTGTGTGTTGGAAGGTGGTTGAGCCGGTCTATTGATGCTTCTCACTCCTCCCTATTTTCGCTCCCTTGGCCCTCCCCCTTGACCCGTCTGCCGACGACACGCGTTCCCCCCTCATCGGCATACCACGGATGCAGTGATCCGCCATCCGCAACAATATGCATATCGTTTAAAAAAATAATAATAATCGATTTTTAAGGTATAACAAAGCAATCTTTAAAGTTTCACCATTTGTTGGTGGGGAAATATTTTAAATATTGTAATGTGTATTATGTAAACTAGCCACAGGTGGAATATAAATATTTTACAAAGAAACATACTTATGAATTACAAAATAGAAAGATATAAATTCTAAAGTAACATTGTCATTTAAAGATGACATGTTGTGGATTATTAATTAAATAATAAAACATACTTTTTCTACCATTATTCTCTTTAACTTAATCTATCTTTGTTCTTCTATTTTATTCCTAAATAATAAAATGGAATGAGGTCTCTTAACAACATTATCCTTATTTTAATAACAAAAGTAAAAAGAATGCGAAGCCTGATACAAAATATTGTTTCCGAATAATCGCGCTTTATTATGTTATAAATTTTTTTATTTTTAATTTTTTTAAAAAGTAATTATTATGTTGTAGAGGGAATTTTTAAATGAAAACTCAGTGCCTATCATTTTTAAATTAATTAAAGTTCAGCAAAGGGTGAAATAATCGTTGTTTTAATTTATTTACCTTTTTCGATCGAGGACGAGCGAAGTTTAGGGTTGACGTTCTAGGGGTTAACTGAGGTGGTTAAAGGAACCCAGCAGAATCGGTGGTGGGATAAGCTTGCGCATTGGGTGCTAGCAACAGGTTTCTGCCCGAACACCTATGTTTACTATGCTACCCGCCCGCAAAAACTAGGCCGTTCTTTATTTACAAAAATAAATAAGGGAGGAATTGTCCACGCCACGTCGATGGTCTACAGAAGAACCAAACTGGACTGGTTCCAACCAAAAATACGTGAAATTATTTGGATTTTAGTACAGTTTTATTTTGAATAAGATTCGGTGGTTTTTTGATATAAAAGTCAGATATGTAACAGCCTTATGTCGACAAAATCAAAAGTTCTAAAGTTAATTGCCAATCAGTGTTGTCGATAGAACAAAACTATTTCTTGTTGGTGCCTAAATTATTCTATTTTATGACACTCTGATTGATATATTATAGCAGTAGGGGACCGAGCGTCCGATTCGTATTTACTAGTTCTAGCGGTTCTGGGTTCGAATCGCGTTAAAATACCATTTGAGATTAATTAGGAAAATATTATAGAGTGTCTCGACCGCGATACCCAAAAAGTGGTAGGACGCCCTCCTGTATTACACCCGATTAAAAAAAATTAACATTTGGAAAATAAATTTAAACAGTAGGAAATTAGAACATAAATTGCGAACTATTTATGATTCAAAAAATAGCATCTGGAAATCAAAGGAAGCACACTAGCATCTACATGAAAAATTTTAAGAGCTTGACCGGAAGACTTTGTGGTTATCTTGATACCAGTTAATTAATCTTTATATAAGGTATTGGTTGAAATGAAAAAGTTATTGTCATGAGCTGGACTCGAACCCAAGACTTTCGGCTAAATACGCCGCTGCTCTACCACTTGAGCTATCGTGACTTTGATCCACTCGGACACTAACTTCAAATCACAACCACAGCTTTTGAATTTTCCCTCCTTTTTGCAATTTCTCTAATGCCGTATAATCAGGATTCGATTCTAGGCGACAAATGAAATAACTACGGGGAGATTTAGTGAAGATATTCTTCGTTTTACTTATTAAATCCGTTATATTTCGTGGTCCGATTGACCAAATGACTTCTTTCAATTAATTATTCTTTATGTAAGGTATTGGTTGAAATGAAAAAGTTAGTGTCACGAGCCGGATTCGAACGCACGAACTTCGGCTAAATATACCGCTCCTCTACCGTTTGAGCTTTTGTGACTTCGATCCACTCGGACACTAACTTCCTCTCACATTTGAAAAATGCAAAAGGAGGGAAAATTTGAAAGGTAGGTTGAGATGAGAAGTGGGTGTCCGAATGGATCGAAGTCACGGTAGCTTATGTGGTATTAGCCTAAGGTTGTGGGTTCGAATCCGGCTAGTAACACTAACTTTTTCATTTCAATACTCAATTAATTATACACAATTTTTTTCGAAATGAAAAATTGTGTATAATTAATTGAGTATTTATATAATTAATAGAAACTGATAAAATTTAGTATTAATGTAGAATCACACCTGTGAATCGTACCCAGTCCCGCTAATCTAGTATAATCGTTAATAAAAAGTGTTTCTATATGAAGCCGCGATTTGCTTATAATTAGAATAAAATCGGGTAGTCGAAATGAGAAGTTTGTGGCATGGGCGATCGAAGTCACGGTAGCTCGGGTGGTAGAGCAGTGGCGTATTTAGTTGAAAATCGTGGGTTCGAATCCCGCCTGTGACACAAATTTTTCATTTCGAAAAAAAAGTGTTTAATTAATTGAGTATTTATATAATTAATAGATGCTGATAAAATTTAGTATTTTTCATTTCATCCAATACCTTACATAAAAATTAATTAATTGAAAGAAGTCATTTGGTCAATCGGACCACGAAATTTAATGGTCTCGATACCAGGTTTTTCGTCGGTGTCAAATATGCACAGCTTGCTTATAAAAGCACACTATGATCAAGGCGAGATCGTATTAAGATTTAGTATTATCTTAGAAGATCTTTCCGATCAAGACCCATGAACATGTGCTTTCTGATTTTAATAAGGTGAATATTCGGAAGCATTTTGCTTTTCCAAGGGATAGCTATGGACGTGTCTATTTTAAAAATTTTTAACCTGCGAATTACTATTACCAAAAAAGATTTCATTAAAATATGCAAATTTTGTAAGATATTTACAAAAGCCAAAAATAACAACTTTATCCTTTATTTAAGAAAATCAGCGAGAATATGGCGAAAATCGTGCTGAAATGTAATATTCTAATATAAAAGTTATTTACGTTAGGACGAAAGTTGAAACCTCTGAATAAATTAGGCGCTATTAAAATTTGTCGTACATACTCCAGGTGCTAAATACCAATTTATTTGCTCTTTATAAATTATTAATCAGTTACGTTTTCAACCCGAATTAATAAAATATGCGTAATTTCGCATCTCGCCCATTTCCGTAGAAAGTCCTTCAATTCCCCTAATGTTAATAAGACAGGTATCCGTCCAGATGCAGTAAATCCCATGGCTTTCAGCGCCATTTTAGGCGAGTAATGACCTGGTATTACCATAATGACCCTTTTAGTAAGGAGGGCGTTCGCCGAGGGCAATCTTAGGGTCAGTAATATCTTTTGAATTGATTCAAGAGTAAATTCGAAACGTACTTCACTTGAAATTGACTCAATTCAGAAAAATTAAATTAAGTTAAAGCGGATTATTTTTTTACCTGATAAAATTTATATTATTATTACAGTACTTTAGTTTATATGTATATGAATTATTTTAATTTTGTTTCATTTATTTAAGGGAGCACATCACTTTAAAAGGTCGCCTTCGGCAAAATGCAACTTTGCATTTTTAATTTTTTCATTTACCTCTTTTCCTGTCTCTTTCTGAATTTTTCAATTCTCGTTTTATACTGTTTTCTAAACATGGTGGTATTGAAAATATAATTATATTTAGAAGAATTTAATTTAAGAAGCTATGAATTTTTTCTACAAAAATAAACTATTTATACTATTCTAGAAAAATAAAAATATTCTTTAAAAAATCTCTCTTTCATGCCTATAGTAGATTTTGGAAATGATCTTTTTTTTCAAAATCTATGCCCATGGCTTGTTGATATTGATTTACGTCGTTCTCACTTCTTGGATGATTTACTAGTTGCTTAAGGCGGTCACCGCTTTGTTTACTGATTTTTGAAAGTGATTTTAGTGTTTTAGTGAATTCTTTAATGTTTTCTGTTACAATAAAAATACAAATGTAGGCACTCTAAGGGGCGTCGGTGGTCGCAACGCAGTCGCTGACACGGCGCTCATTACTGTTAGGTAAAGCTCCCGGGTTCAAATCTAGCGGCCCTGCATTCGAACCCGGCATACTTAGAAATCGGCTTTTTTCAAAAACATCGGCACCCTGAGGGTTTATATGACCTCTGCTGTTGTGAACCCTCGTAAAAAATATTTTAAAAAAATGTAGGCACTTTAATCCATGATGGTGTCTAGAGAGATGACTCCATACCAAAATTGGTTAACAATAAAATAAAACTATTTCTGGTTGTCCAAATTATATTCTTCCGATGTTATAATGTCAAGGAAAAGTTTTATTAGTTTTTTATAAGATCAAAAACAAAAGAAAAATAATTTTTTGACCGTTCGTAGTTCTATGCTTCCCTAAGCTTATTAATCCGATTTTTTGTTTCTCTTTTCAGCAAGATCTCCAATCTCACCCAGTTGATCTTTAAGGTCCCTTTTACCTGTTTTATGATCCTTTAACTGCAACCACCATGATGAAAATTATTTCGTCGTCTTGTTCTATTTGCCTGTTGATAGAGAAAATCCAACTGTTCGACATATCAACCACCTTGGGTTCTGTTTTTCTAGTTTTTTTTTTACTTTATGTATTTATATTAGTTTTGCTGTTTTAATTGTTCATACTTCGGATTACTGACATTATTTTAGATTTCAAGCATACTTTGCTGGAAAGAAGTCTGATTTAAAAGTATCATTTATGACTAGGATCGTCAGCAATTATTCAACAGTTTTCAGCCGGACCAACAAGACCACAATTCATAACAACTTTATAGCACAACGATGAGAACAATTTCAGAAGCATCATTCAGTGAAATGTCGGAATGAGCTTAGCGAAGCCCATTAGGGTCATTTCCCTAATCTCGCTATGTCCAATTTCGGGCCAGATCAGCAGATCCTAATCCGATTCCATGCCATTACGAATGGTAAATGGCAAAACGGTTAAAATTTGAACCGTAAGTATTTTTAGGTATTTCTATTTGTCTAATGAATGAATTGTATGCTTTTATGTTTATCTAATGAAATTATAAAAAGGTTTCAAATAAAATAAATCTCGGTATTTAAGTCACGTCCAACATTTCCATTTATATAATGCGTTAGACAAACTGAGAGGTAATTTTAAAAAAAGGCACATCATGGGTAATTTGGGTTAACCACTAAAACCGTGGTTCAGCAGCTTCCTAATTTCCTTTTAATGAAAGTAATGGGCGGGGCGAATTGGGTAACGAATTTTAATTACCAGGCGCAACCTTTCAGCTCAGGATAACCCGTTAACGCGGTGATACAGAGATTACGAAGGTAGTAATTACTGTCATAATTTAGAAGTTTCTGTAAAATTGTGACGCTTCACGAAATTGTTATAATATATACGCTTGTGGAAATTTATAAATGAGACTTAGATAAATTATTTCACAAAATCATAAATCCAACAAGCCATCCCGCGCAGCCCTTATCTGTTTATCATTTAGCCAATCTAATATAATACATTTTTAACTTAATGGAAATTTCACCATTTCGACCATTCAGCAGTATATTGTTAAAAAAGATAAAACTTAATAAATAAATTTAACGTTTATTTTTTGCTTTTTCCCTAAATTATTGCAAAACATAAATTTATTACATTCATATAAAATTAATCTACCGATTGGCTTTAGCTTTTCCATCATTTACTTAGGAAACAAATTACTTTCAATATGATTGATTTGTTGATTTATATAAAATCA